AGAAATCTGATGAGGTTCAACAAGGACAAGTGCAGAGTCCTGCACTTAGGACGGAAGAATCCCATGCACCGCTACAGGTTGGGGACCGACTGGCTAAGCAGCAGTTCTTCAGAAAAGGTCCTGGAAATTACAGTGGACGAGAAGCTGGATATGAGTCAGCAGTGTGCCCTCGTTGCCAAGAAGGCCAACGGCATATTGGACTGTATAAGTAGGAGCATTGCCAGCAGATCGAGAGAAGTGATTATTCCCCTCTATTCAGCACTGGTGAGGCCACACCCAGAGTATTGCGTCCAGTTTTTCTCCCCCCACTACAGAAGGGATGTGGACAAATTGGAAAGAGTCCAGCGGAGGGCAACAAAAATGATTAGGGGACTGGGGCACGTGACTTATGAGGAGAGGCTGAGGGAACTGGGCTCATGTAGTCTGCAGAAGAGAAGAGTGAGGGGGGATTTGATAGCAGCCTTCAACTACCTGAAGGGGGGTTCCAAAGAGGATGGAGCTAGGCTGTTCTCAGTGGTGGCAGATGACAGAACAAGGATCAATGGTCTCAAGTTGCAGTGGGAGAGGTCTAGGTTGGATATTAGGAAACGCTATTTCACCAGGAGGGTGGTGAAGCACTGGAACGGGTTACCTAGGGAGGTGGTGGAATCTCCATCCTTAGAGGTTTTTAAGGCCCAGCTTGACAAAGCCCTGGCTGGGATGATTAGCTGGGGTTGGTCCCGCTTTGAGCAGGTGGTAGGACTAGATGACCTCCTGAGGTCTCTTCCAACCCTAATCCTCTATGATTCTATGAAATGCTGGCTCACAACACTTTCCTCACAGCTCTTCAGAATACAGAAATTAGAAATATAGGACATGTTGAAAGCCGTTTAGGCATTAATTTAAACAGCTGCTTTACCCTACTGCCTGGATGCGGAGTTCCCTACGTCTTTTGAGTTTTTTCATTACACTCAGGTGCGTTTGTTACATATCCATATGAAAAGTATTTTCATTCAATAACAGAGACAGAAAGGGTTTCACTATTTTCCCTGGCCCTGAGCAGCTCCAATGAATGGTCTGTGGCTCCTGAAGTCATTCCATTGGGCAAAACATCGTCTCTTCACACTGATGTAGTTCGGAATGCTCAGGTCAATGAGCAATCTGATTGGCTTTACTCCGATTGCCATTTCACAGCCCCAATAGCAGTGGGCAGGAGATGTGTCGTTCAGGGCAGGAAGGATGGGAAATCTAGTCTGGTAATGGCGGCAATGAGGAAACAGCTCTTGTAAGGTACTGGACAGCAGCTGTCCTTGGACGGCAGCGATGAGAGGCTTCAGCATGGAGATGCTAATTTTAAAAGAGGAAAGGGAACGGGTAAAGAACCATTGAAAATGAACCCAAAGAGATTTGTGTTGGTCTCCATTTTAGTGTAAAGCAGGATAAGATCTGTTTTTTAGAAAATAATCCTGTTCTTTTTTTTGTTTCAGTTAGAGCAGGGGTGAAAATCCGGCCCTCGAGCTCCTGCTGGGAAGTGGGGTCTGGAGCTTGCCCTGCTCCCACGCTCCAGTCGGGGAGTGGGGTCGGAGGCTGCTCCACGCGCGCAGGCGAGGCTCCCATAAGCAGCAGCATGTTCCCCCTCTGGCTCCTATGCTTAGGGGCAGCCAGGGGGCTGCGTGCGCTGCCTTTGCCCCAAGCGCCACCCCCACAGCTCCCATTGGCCAGGAACTGCAGCTAATGGGAACTGTAGGGGTGGCACCTGCGGATGGAGCAGCGTGCAGAACAGCTTGGCCACACCTCCGCATAGGAGCCGAAGGGGGGACATGTCGCTGTTTCCAGGAGCTGCATCATGTAAGCGCCGACCGGAGCCTGCACCCCTGACCTCCTCCCATGCCCCAACCCCCTGCCTCAGCCCTGATCCCTCTCCCACACCCTAACCCCCTGCCCCAGCCCGGAGCCCCCTCCCACACCCTGAACTCCTCATTTCTGGCCCCACCCCAAGGCCTGCACCCCCAGCCAGAGCTCACCCTCCCCCATGCTCCAATCCCCTGCTCCAGCCCTGATCCCCCTCCCACCCTCCGAACTCCTTGGTCCCAGCCTGGAGCACCCTCCTACACCCAAATCCTGCATCCCCAGCCCCACCCCAGAGCCCGCACCTGCAGCTGGAGTCCTCCCCCTCACCTGCTCCTGCACCCCAATCGCAATTTCGTGAGCATTCATGGCCCACCATACAATTTCCATACTCAGATGTGGTCCTCGGGCCAAAACGTTTGCCCACCCTTGAGTTAGAGAGTTGTCTGCCCAGTAGACTAACATGTCTTATTCCCGGGTTTCCATGTTGGTTTGCTGGAATCATACTGCATGTGACATTAGGCGTTATTCTCATTTTGATTCATTGGGACTTATACACAAAACTCTCTGTGCACTGACATGACACTGTGCCCCCTCGATCAGTAAAGCCTTGAGAGAGTTTAAAAGCTGATACTTCATGTCTGTTGTTGCACTAGAACACCTGATGCAAGCTCGCCCTCTTGGGTTGGTTAGAATCTGGGCTATTATTCCTTAACTTTAGCAAAGCTTTTGATACGGTCTCCCACGGTATTCTTGCCAGCAAGTTAAAGAAGTATGGGCTGGATGAATGGACTATAAGGTGGATAGAAAGCTGTCTAGATCGTCGGGCTCAACGGGTAATGATCAATGGCTCCATGTCTAGTTGGCAGTCGGTATCAAGCGGAGTGCCCCGAGGGTTGGTCCTGGGGCCGGTTTTGTTCAATATCTTCATTAATGATCAGGAGGATGGCGTGGGCTGCACCCTCAGCAAGTTTGCTGACGACACTAAACTGGGAGGAGTGGTAGATACGCTGGAGGGTAGGGATAGGATACAGAGGGACCTAGACAAATTAGAGGATTGGGCCAAAAGAAATCCAATGAGGTTCAACAAGGACAAGTGCAGAGTCCTGCACTTAGGACGGAAGAATCCCATGCACTGCTACAGACTAGGGACCGAATGGCTAGGCAGCAGTTCTGCAGAAGAGGACCTAAGGGTCACAGTGGACGAGAAGCTGGATATGAGTCGACAGTGTGCTCTTGTTGCCAAGAAGGCAAACGGCATTTTGGGCTGTATAAATAGGGACATTGCCAGCAGATCGAGGGACGTGATCATTCCCCTCTATTCGACATTGGTGAGGCCTCATCTGGAGTACTGTGTCCAGTTTTGGGCCCCACACTACAAGAAGGATGTGGAAAAATTGGAAAGAGTCCAGCGGAGGGCAACAAAAATGATTAGGGGGCTGGAGCACATGATTTATGAGGAGAGGCTGGGGGAACTGGGATTCTTTAGTCCGCAGAAGAGAAGAATGAGGGGGGATTTGATAGCTGCTTTCAACTACCTGAAAGGGGGTTCCAAAGAGGATGGAGCAAGGCTGTTGTCAGTGGTGGCGGATGACAGAACAAGGAGTAATAGTCTCAAGTTGCAGTGGGGGAGGTTTAGGTTGGATATTAGGACAAACTTTTTCACTAGGAGGGTGGTGAAGCACTGGAATGTGTTACCTAGGGAGGTAGTGGAATCTTCTTCCTTAGAGGTTTTTAAGGTCAGGCTTGACAAAGCCCTGGCTGGGATGATTTATTTGGGGATTGGTCTTGCTTTGAGCAGGGGGTTGGACTAGATGACCTTCTGAGGTCCCTTCCAACCCTGATATTCTATGATACTCTTTTCCACTGGTTTGTTTAAAAGTTGACAGTTTGCATGCCAAATGCTTCTGATGTTCTTACTTGCCAGCTCTCTGGTAACTGACTGATAGATTCCATTTCCAAAACTCCTCTCCGCCTTTCCACCTGTTTTCTTCTGCCTCCAGTGCTTCACCCTCACCACTGCTGATGTCAGACTCCCCTGCACTCCCTCCCTCAGATGTGCTGCAGGAGCCAGGACCTTTAGGATGTTGTTTCACATGCAAATTTAAATGACAACTCCCCTACTTACCTGTGGAGGACTGGACTAATTGATCTAATAGGTCTTTTCCATTTCTGATGTCTATGATTCTGTTAAACTTCCCAGGCCACCCAAGCTCTAGAAGATTATTGAAGGGGGAGTGATACAGGGCACTCCTTCCTGCATAGACAGCAAAATGTCAAAGGGGCCCTTATCAGGATGGAATTTCTATCTCTTCAATTTTCTTAAATTTGAAGCAATAAAACAGAGCACAAAATGTATTCCAAACATATTATTCTTCCAAGGTCTCTTTTTAAGGGGCCAGGAAAAGACTCCGAGCACAACAAGGGATATACAGGCTCTGAAATACTTACCTGTTTTGGCTGAAGCCCATGTTTTGCCAACTGCTGGGTGGTTTGTATTGAAAAAGAGACTACTTTAAGAGCTACAATTGGTTTGGCAGCTAGATACATTTTCCTTTAAATGTGCAGTATCCAAGTCAAGCAAGGGGAACATCCAGTGGGTAATGAACCAAAATGGCCAATTACTGTACATTTTTGAGAGCTATCCCAGGCACTATCCGTGCTTTTTAAATATTGGAATTTGATTGTTATGGACCTGGCAGCATATTTGACACTGCTCAGATATTTTTACAACTATTCTTAGCTAGCAGCAGTCAGTCACAGTGAGTTACAAAGTCTGATCAGCCAAGTTGCAGCTGGAATTGCTTTGCTTTGACACCCTTCTACCTGTATTGACAGCTCCTTGTTCCGTCAGGGCACGTGGCGCTATCTGTGGGCTGGCAGGATCAGGAGAGATCTGCACTGACAAAGTTAAACTATTTCAGTTAGAGACCAAAACTGGGCTTGCTGCTGGTATCGTACTTCAGACCCTGATCAAGCACTTCTGCTAAAGATTTGGGCTTTACTGTATCTACCCAGGCCAAGTCCTTCTGTTAATGTCGTGTTTGCCATGTCTTAACATGGCGTCCTGCTTTGGTTTTTTTATTATAATTTTGTTCTTAATTTTTTTGGTGTGACTTGTTGTATTCTATAACAATAACCTTCTTAGTTCTAATGTCCCTCCTACCCCTCAGCAGTTGACCAAGCTCCACCAGTTGGCTATGCAGCAAACCCCCTTTACTCCCCTTGGACAGACCACCCCCGCTTTCCCTGGTACGTACCCAGATGCCCTTTACAGATTTCCTTCTCTTCTTACCTGTAGAGTTTCTCTCTCTTTCTAAGCTTGTTTTATTTAATGGAAATAAATAGGACAAGTAAAGTGAAGTTGCAAATGTCAATGGTGAAAAGTTAACAAAGATTAGTATTTCAAAGTGCTTTTCCTTATGGCTCAGCTCATTGTAATTGTGCTTGTACAGTCTGCTCTTGGGAAGCCATGTTTATCTGCTTCCTGCTTTGCTAGCTTGAATAGAGGTTAATCAACCTTGGGATAAAACTAATGCTTGTGGGCCCTTTCTAGCACAGAGGAGTGGGTATTCACTGCCATGGGTTGGTATGTCCTTTGGGAGACATCCATGCACTCTGACAGTGCTTCATTTGTTGAGCATTGTCTGCAGATTCAAAAATCTGTAAAGGCTGTGTAAATTCCTTTCAGCTCTTCCGACTGATCTCAATCACTGTCCAGGATGTTCTCTTCATATGCACAAAGTAGCTGTAGAATGTCGACAGAAACGTACCGTACATGAAGCCTCTTTGGTTTGTGCTTCATGAGAAGTGGTGGGAATTAGCCATAGTTTTAGGGGGAAATCCTGTCCTCTGGTGAAGGAGGCCTTTGAAGAAGTATGCTACAATGGAGGACCCCCAGAACTCTAGTTAGGGCTATATGTCTCAAACTTTGCTAGCAGAATTGATAATACAGTTTAAATTTTTCATTGTGAACTAGGGTGGCAGCTATAGAGTAGGGAATTAAAATACTTAAAATACCTTCATTTCACTCGATGGTCAAAATGCCAACTGGAAATTCCTTTTCTGCCATTTTGTCCATCATATTTTGAGCTTCCTAGATGAAGTGACATTGCTTATCTCCTTGAAGGCAAAAGCATTAAATCTGTTTCTTCTTTGCTCTTCAGGAGAAAAGCTGCCCTTACATTCCTCCGAAGAAGCTCAAAATCTGATGGGCCAATCATCAGGTAAAATAAAAGCTACAGGGAAATCTAGTAGGCTTCTGTTGCGATATTTCTTGAATAGGACCCTATCGTTGCTGTAATCGTACATAAATTGACTTATTGTGTTGACAAGACAGTACGACTTCCAATGGGCAAGAACTGATGGTGTAGGACAGTACCTGCCATTTTCTTTCTACAGTATGTCCAAGGAAGTGAATAAATTTGCCCGTACTGTACTGTACTTCAATAGTCCACTAATAGTCTCTTGATATGTGTGTATCATTCATGCTAATGGGAATTATGCATGGTCAAGAGAATAACAGAATTATGACCTATATTATTGTATTTGATTTTTATAAAGTTCTCCATGAGATAACAGAAGAATACCCATGGGAGGCATGAGACCGCATTGCTCTGTTAGTGTAGCTTTATTAATCCATCCAAAGAAAGATAGCTTTCGAAGCTATGCAATGCGTTAATGTATATGAGTAAAGTTGTCATTTTTGATACATTCCTATTTCAAATTTTCTGCGCTGACAATTGGCTAAGAAGCTAACACATGCCAGCACAGACTTTCTTTAATGATAATTGTTTATATCTTAAATGTAGTCAGAACAGGGAGTTTTAGCACTTGAGAGTAAATGATAGAAGAAATTAACCACTTGAAAAATACTGTTGACATTCACCTAACTTAACATACCTTTAATATAAACATACATTTGCAAAATAATCGTTTCATAATATGGCCTAGTGCTAATAAGTTAATGGATTTTCCGGTGAATATTTTATTCTTCATGCCAATGAAAGGAATTTTTGGGATCTTATTGTACTATAATATCTCTTGTTGGGGAATGGAAGTACGTTTTATTAAAGCAGTCTGGGTATATTTTATGGGCTATATCCTCAGCCCATGTAAATCAGCTTAGCTCCAATGAAGCCAATGGAGTCACGTCTATTTATGTCAGCTGAAGACCTGGCCTTATGTTTAAATCGTAGCCTTACGTATAGTCACGGGTATTTTTAGTAAAAGTCATGGACAGGTCACAGGCAATAAACAAAAATTTACGGCCCATGACCTGTCCATGACTTACATTAAAAATACATGTGATTAAATCCTGGGAGGGGAGGCGGGGGTTGCGCTGGGCCCACTTCTGGGAGGGTGTCGGGGGGAGTCCGGGGGGGATTCCATGGGGGGGGGCATCCGGGGCCAGTGGCACCAGCTGTCCAGCCAACGAACTGCGGCCACTCCAGCAGTGGCTGGTGTGGCTGTCCTGGGGGCCATCTGAGCAGCTGGCCCCGTTGCCAGCTGCTTGGGCAGCCCTGGGGTCAGCCACACTGGCCCCTGAAGAAGTCACGGAGGTCACGGAAAATTGTGGAATCCGTGACTTCCACGACTTCCATGACAGACATGGATACTGACATAGTGTCCCCTCACCTTGCCCCCACTATAAATTTTGTAACTGTGTAACATATTGATTTAGAAAATGTCTCCTGTGGAATTCCAACGGTTACTAAATTGAACCTCATAATGCATGTGAGAACCCCCTGAGAGAGTTCAAGGTAATGCACTCTGGGATTTTCCATCACTGCTGTGTGGTGCACTCTAAGGTGCAAGTAACAGGGACAACCCAGACTCCAGCACATGGGATGTGATAGTTAGGGTGGCACCCAGCAAGGAAGCCAGAAGACCTACTGGACCTTACAATGTTCAATGTGGGAGAGGATGTAGAGATGGGAGCATCAAGGTGAATGAGGAGTAGGTTCTAGATAGGCATAGTGAAGAGGGATCCATGGGGTCAGGAGTGGATCAGAACTGGGAGCAAGGGGGAGATGGAATGGTGGAGAAGAGGGAATTTGTCCAGACTTGAGCAGAGGCTCCAGTCCCATTTGAGTATGGGCAAATGTTAGGATCAGCTATTATTTCGCCTCTATGATTTGCCCTTCCCATTAACACTGCTGGGGTGGATTTGTTAACCCAGAAAGGGAGTATAAGTGACAATATGGAGTAATATAAAAGAAGGCTGCATCTATTTCAGTGAGTGTGTTACTCTGCAAGCCTGCCTGGTGAGAAGTGCTTTTCACTAAGTCTTGGCATTTAGGAGCCTACTGCTGACCAGTAAAGTCCTTACTCTGCTGTAAAACCAATATTAAACCCAGGGGAGAGCTAGTGGTGACAGTCTCTTGCGCTGGTGTCCCAGCCAAGGGCTAATGCTGCTTTGTGCCCACAACAGAGGGCTGCATGGCAGGATGGGTGTTCTCGTGGTTAAGGCACGTGATTGGCAATTGGAAGACCTGGCTTGTATTCCCAGCTCTGCCCCTCCCATCTTGTGTCCTTAGACTAGTCCTTTCAGCCAAAATATTCAAACTTGGGGGCCTAAGGTTAGGCAACTAAATCTATATTTAGAGATTTAAATAAGTGCTCAGATTCTCAGAGGTTCTTAACAAATCCCTTGGAAATTTCTGGGACTCGTGAGAGCTCATCAGTTCTATGAAAATCTGGACCCTTTGGTGTCTAACCTCAAGCAGCCAAGTTTGAAAATTGTGGCCTTACCCTTCCTTCAGTTTCTTCTTCTGGGAGATGGGTACAACACTTACCTGGCCTCCTGGGGTGGTCGTGAGGCTATATTCAGTAATATATGGGAAGTGCTATATCTTCTAGCAAAGCAAAGCAATTTGATATAGTTATTTCCAGGAGTAGTCTCCGAAATGCTTATTTAAACTTAAAGCTTTATTTTGTAATATGTTCATAGATTTCAGTCTTGGCTCATCAAAGTGCTTTGCATCATGTCAACTCTGGCATGCTAAGGAAAATGGCAACACATCACATTTCTTTTAAGAAATTTTCCATATATTCACTCTTCATTGGATTAATGCAACGTCCATCTTTGTTATGGACTTAATACTGTAAACTATGGTTGTTCTGTTTTGAATTCTTAAAACACAATGATACCAACAGAAATGTAGCTTGTTGGTTCCAGGGGTGGTGGAACAATTTGTATAGTGGGGTGCTAAGAGCCATTGAACCAAACTGTAGACCCTGTATATAATGGAAACCACTTCAAGCTAGGTGATGTGGCAGCCCCACCTCTCCCCCCCGGACCCCTAGTTCCAGCATCTATGATTGGGTCATTCATTTTCTAAATGTACTCTGATATTATCAGCAAAATTAGATGGGAAATTTTCTTTAGCAGTACAGAAAACGTTGGTGGAACTGAAGGATAGCAACGCTAGATCATTACTTGTATTGTTTATATATTCCTTTTGGAGCAACTTCAAAATACCACAGGACATGCAGCAGCAATTCTGGGGTAATTTCATTTTGTGACTTGCATGATAGAGTTCAATAATGCTGCTGTGTTTTTTCATAGTGACACTGTAAGTAACTGGATTCATCGCTGTTAATTGGGGGAAATGATAAAACATGAGGCATTTTAGCAACAGTGAAGGCCATCTGGCCTTAACATACCTGCCTTTTCTTTTGTTTCATTTTAATCCTATATTCCGTGTGCTTTTTCTTCATGCTCTTAATCCCCTATTTCTCCAGACACAAACCTTGGTGTCTCATTTATATTCTTTGCCTTAAATTCTTTCCCTGGTAGTTTATTCTGTATAATGATTAAAGTTTTTGTGAGTAACTGTAAATTCACATTGGCTACCAGACAGCTTCACTCTCCCAGTGCTGCAAATCGGGATATGAATGTCACTATTTCAGCAATGAGTGAAGATGTAATCATCTTATTTAGAGAAACTACTGGTGACATATGCTTGGTCCTGTACTGAGAACATTATGAAATGCTGATTGATTACATTTCAAGCTGCATAGATTTGTCCCCTGACTCCTCCACTTTCCATATTAATGGAAAGTGTTCTTTATCTCTTTAGGGAAACTGAAAGGAAATATATGTCTCTATACATATCGCTCACTAGACACCACATGTTTCTATCTGGTTGAACAATGATGCAGGCTCTAAAACTGGATGTCTTGCTTTTCCTATGGTGGAAGAGCATGATGGGTATTGAAGTCAGTTAGTCAGTTCATGTTTCATATTTTGTGTCTTTGATTCATTGCTGAGTGTTAATCTGTGGTGCTTGGACTCCCAGAGTTGCATTGCAGACCACAAACGAGTACACGTGAAGAACTTCCACTCTCAGCCTGTGTTATCTGATGCATTGTGACACAGTATTCCACTTTCAATATCATTCGTAATCCACTGGTGAAGACTGCTGCCAGAAGGACAGGCAGAAATATGATATCATGTGATGTAGCACTGCCACATGTCCTAACAAAGACCATTCTTGATCTATCTTGTACCTCCTCTCCATGACTGTTTCCTTAAGCATATTCTGCTGTATCATGTGATCAGAGAGGTTTGTAGTGTGTATACTACTTACCCCTTGATGTCATCACCATGATGATAAAGCATTCATCCTACAAGGCATTTACTACCTCTAATATGCTATGGGCCATGTGATTTCTCACTATCCAGTGCTTACTTACAGACTTCCCCACACAAAATGCATCTCTTATTTCTCATTGGCAGACTTCAAGCAGTACAGAATGTTGCTTGCTTAACCTATTTCAGCATTTCCCAGGTGGGTCTGTAATTTTGCACAGTGGTTTGCAGTAATCTAGGGATTGTTCAAGTGTTAAAATAAAGGAAAGGAAGCACGGACCAGCTGGCAATAGCAAGGAGCTCTTCCTCCTTGTTTCTTGGAAGGAAGACAAAGTGATGGGAAGGCACCTACAGTCACGGGCTTTTAGACTGGAAGCTGTGAACCTCCTAATGAGAACCAACTCGGAGGTTTCAGGGTCCCAGAAGAACAGTGGTAACCAGTTGCAGGAGTGTTGTTAGTAATTTTGTTCCTTGTCATTATACCAGAATGTGTTGTCCACTTACCCTCCTGACCCTGAAGGAGTACGGAACATTTGTAACATCTGCTATTTTGGTAAAATGCCAGGCAATACACAGTGCTTTCTCTGCAAGCTATAATCATTTTCCCTTGCATATGCTCAGGTTTGGATGCCAGTCCCCCGGCCAGTACTCATGAACTCACCATTCCCAATGATGTGAGTATAGCACCTTTGAACTCTCTCTGTACCAGGATATATATGAAAGCTACAAATAAATCAGTTAAATAGCTTTAGAGCAGCCAGTTCATTGAGCCCAGCCATGTGGTTGGACAGTATTGTGTCAGAACAGTTAGTACGATTACTAGACTTAATGCACAGAATAAAACAAAGAAAGTTAAGAATGGGTCAATCTGGCGCTCCCCTTTTTTTGGTCTTTGCTAGTTTAAAATCTATGACTATGTCTTTTCTTTAAAGTGAATTTAATGCTCATGAAATATGCCTGGTTGACAGCCCTAGAGAATGAAGTCGTCTAATATTCCATGACCAGTACAGCAGGAGTAGACTCTTTCCATTGTCCCACCAATGCGCCTTAGCCATGTGGACCTCTGTGATGTAGCTGCCCACTCAATCCTTGTTCTCTCTGCTGAGTGCCAGTTTAATATGTTTAATTTATTGTAAGATGATCTGGAAAGGGATTAACTATAATTTAATCTTGATTATACAGAGAAAGGGAAATCCCAATTTAGGAAAAAATTGGCAGGTGTGTGGAGGAAGAGTATGAGACGATCGAAGTTCCTCAGCAGGTGCAGGGAAATAGAATGTATATTTTTATAAATATTCATGCAGATTGTCTATGGGTGCACGAACCCATGGTTGTTCTGACAGCATCTGAGCTGTCGAGTGTTACTGGTATGTTAGTATAAAGTAAATGTCAAACTCACATGCTCAAATATTGACAGAAATGAAGCATTTAAGGGCTAGACTCAGCCCCAGCTGAGGCACAAAGCTGTCCCAATGGAAATCCCAAGGATTCCAAGGAGAATTCTCAGGTGGAGCTCCAGGAGCATAGCCAGCTCTATGCTACTGGCTCCTCCCACCCAAAAAGTTGAAGAGTGTTAGGGACTGGGATGAAAGAGGCAGAGCACATGGCACTTAATTGATCCTGGATTGTCACACTGGTTTCTGTAGGACCACTGCAGGCAGCATATTTTAAAGCAGCCCTGAGGCTGCTCTACATGCCGTCCAGGGCATTTTGGTCCCCAGGCAGCCCAGGGTCAGGGAAGCCAAAAATTCTCAAAGCTTTTTGCACCTTGGCAAGCTTCCGCTGTGAGTAGGATGGAGGGTAGCACAGATGACATAGCTAGTCACAGGACACTCTTCAAACCTACTTATTCCTCTGGTTCACCTCTGGAAAAAGGGGCAAAGAGTGATATGGCAAATTTGCAGATGATACAAAATTATTCTAGATAGTGAAGTCCAAAGCAGACTATGAAGAGTTACAAAGGGATCTCACAAAACTGGTGACTGGGCGATAAAATGGCACATGAAATTCAGTGTTGATAAGTGCATAGTAATGCACATTGGAAAACATAATCCCAACTATACATATAAAATGATGGGGTCTAAATTAGCTGTTACCACTCAAGAAAAAGATCTTGAAGTCACTGTTGATCATTCTCTGAAAACATCCACTCAGTGTGCAGTGGCAGTCAAAAAAACCTAACAGAACGTTAGGTTCCATTAGGAAAGGGGTAGATAAGACAGATAATATCATAATGCCACTATATAAATCTATGGTGCACCCACACCTTGAATATTGCATGCAGTTCTGGTCACACCATCTCAAAAAGGATACATTAGAAATGGAGAAGGTACAGAGAAGAGCAACAAAATGATTTAGGGGTATGGAACAGCTTCCCTATAAGGGGAGATAAACCATCTGAGTCTTTTTAATCTTAGAAAAGAGACAACTAAGGAGGGATATGGTCAAAGTCTACAAAATCGTGAATGGTGGGGCGGAAGTGAATAGGGAAATGTTATTTACCTCTTCACATAACACACAAATTAAATTAATAGGCAGAGGGATTAACACTAACATAAGGCAGTACTTCACACAACGCACAGTCAACGTGCGGAGCTAGTTGTCAGGGAATGTTGTGAAGGCCAAATAACTGGGTTAAAAAAAGAACTGGATAAGTTCTATTAGCCAAGATGGTCAGGGACGCAACCCCATGCTCTGGATGTCCCTAAACCTCTAACTGCCAGAAGCTGGGACTGGATGACAGGGAATAGATCACCCAATAATTTCCTATTTTGTTCATTCCCTCTGAAGCACCTGGCATTGGCCACTGTCAGAAGACAGGATACTGAGCTAGATGGACCCAGTATGGCCGTTCTTATGTTCTTAGAAAAATCCTCTTGGGAAATTAGGTGCTTTCCTGTGCCTTGATTCCCAAAGGTTCAGATAGTTGGGTCATCTCGGTATTGGAAACGTGAATGTAGAGATTGTTAAAGCATTTTTGTGAAGATTGGAGCAACTATTTGCAGAAGGATCTAGTCTCTGATAAATTATTGCTCTCTGTGAAGGTGATGTACAAACTACTATATATTACTTCAATGACTTGGGACTTGCATTCGCTAGAAACTAAACTTGTTCTCACACAGCTTTTGTCAGACATTGACAGCCTGCTGAATATCTACAGCTACTTTCTCATCCGGTATGCTAAAATATCTTTTTTTCTTTACCTCTTGGTGTCCAAAATAATTTTGACCAAGAAAATAGAGAAGTCTGTTTTGAAAGCTTTCAAATCCCCTAATTTATCTTCACCTGGAGAAAAAGGGCTCACACGCCCTTCCATATCATAAGGCAAATAGCCTAACAACTCTTTTTAGCAGATGTTGAATAGCTTTCCTTGTATTACAGAAGAAATCAGTGCCAGAAGTCCAGGGATCCATGACCTAGGGTTTGGAAATTCTGTTTGACTAATGATGATTCAATACACTTATGGGCGCTCCTTGTCAATTGTGTTAGGCAGGGTGGGGAGAGTCAAGGGAGTGCAAGGGAGCGAAGTATTTTCTTTGATCCTAGAAGAAGGTTAATTTCAGAATTGCTCTGCTTATCAAAACATTAGTTTAAAATCAAAACAAAATCCCCAAATCAGGAGGCTTCCATCTCAATTTGATTCTTTTCAGCTGAAAAACAGGAAATCTTGAGTTGTGGCAGAACAGAGAGTGCAGAAGCAGTCAACAAACATTCCCCATCACCTCCTGGGTTTTTGCAAAAGCCTTTAATATACCAGACCTGAATGAAAGAAACACCATTGTCCTTGGTGCTTTATGGCTAGCTGATAACTGTTCTAATATGAAAGAAAGCTACACTTTGCAGCCACATATGCAAAAGACCTCTTTCATGCACACTTCAACTTCACAAGCTTAAAATATCAGCCCTGAAACTTGGTCTCTGAATTAGGGTTCTTTGTTCCTGTAGCACATGTAGATGAGGCCAATCCTGCATTTCTTTTGGATATGTAGCATCCGTCTCCAGTCAGGAGGAAGACAGAACCTTCAAGGGTATTGACAAATATCCTGGAGGAGCAGAACACCTTTAAGGTATTCCTGAGGGACACCAAAACCATCACTTGAGCCCCAGCAGATAAATCTCCATGTCCAGTTTGGGAAATTTCATCACCAATAGTTCAGATATAGGGAAATTATCACAGGAATTGTAGACGTTCATATGGTGAACATCTGGTGAACAAAACCATGCTTATAAAACAGATAACACAATGGCAGTCTAAGCAAACTGGGCAGTGCAAGACACAAGACCTACCTCACAGGGATGTTGTGTGGCTTGATTCATTAATAAATAACTGTTGTTAATATTTGCATCATTCATAGATTCCAAGGCCAGAAGGGACTGTTATTATTATCTAGTCTGACCTCGTGTATAGCACAGGCCAGAGAACTTCCCCAATTCCTAGGACAGACCTTTGAGAAAAACAGTCGATCTTGATTTTAAAATGGCCTGTGACAGAGAATCCACCACGATCCTCGGTAAGATGTTCTAATGGTTAATTAGCCTCACATTCAAAACTTTATGCTTTATTTGCAGTCTGAATTTGTCTGGCTTCAGCTTCCAGTCATTGGATCGTGTTAGACCTTTTCTCTGCTAGACTGAAGAGCCCATTATTAAATATTTTCCCCCATGTAGATATGTGTAGACCGTGATCAAGTCACCCCTTAACCTTCTCTTTATTAAGCTAAATAGATTGAGCTCCTGGAATTTGTCACTAAAAGGAATGTTTCTTAAATTTTCATCATTCTTGTGGCTCTTCTCTGAATCCTCTCCAATTTATCATCATCCTTGTTGAATTGTGGGCACCAGCACTGGACACAGTATGGCAGCAGTGGTCGCACCAGTGCCAATACAGAGGTAAAGTATCCTCTCTATATCTACTCGAGATTCCCTTGTTTATGCATCCAAGGATTGCATTAGTCCTTTTGGCCACAGCATCACATTGGAAGCTCATGTTCAGCTGATTATCTACCATGACCCCCATATCCTTTTCAGAGTCTCTGCTTCCCAGGATCGTCTCCCATCCTGTAATTTCTTTGTTCCTAGATGTACACATTTACATTTAGCCAGATTAAAACACATAGTGTTTGCTTGTGCCCAGTTTACCAAGCGATCCAGATCACTCTGTGTCAGTGACCTGTCCTCTTCGTTATTTACCCCTCCCCCAATCTTTGTGTCATCTGCAAACTTTATCAGTGATGATTTTATGTTTTCTTCCAGTTGCTTGATAAAGAGGCTAAATAGCACAGGGCCAAGAACTGATCTCTGTGGGATCCCACTGGAAACAGACCCGTTCAATGACTATTTCTCATTTAGAGTAACCGGCTTTTAAATCCATTTAATGCATACCATATTAGTTTTATACCAATCAAAATGTCATGTGATACCAAGCCAAATGCCTGACAGAAGCCAGAATATCTTACATTAACACTATTACCTTTATCAACCAAACTTGTAATCTCATAAGAAAAGATATGAGGTTAGTCTGACAGGATCTATTTTTCATAAATCCATGTTGATTTGCATTAATTACAGTCTCCTCCTTTAATTCTTTATTAACCAAGTCCCATATCAGCCACTCCATTATCTCTCACACAATTGATGTCAGGCTGACAGGCCTATAATTACCTGGATCACCCCA